TATCAAATTACCTTAGATTTTTCATTTTTTATCCTGTGAGCTTCATCTATAACTAAGTATCTCCAGTTAAACTTTTTGAACACAGACTTCTCTTTAATGAGCATTTCATAAGATGTGACACACACATCCCACTCTCCTGGTAATAAAACATCCCTGACAAATGCAGCCTGTAAAGCAACAGAAAAACTTACATCACTCAATACAATTATACATTAAACTTACCAACAAGTAATTTAATACAGAAAAAGGAGTGAGATTATTAAACAGTATGCTATTATTAAATAAGCACCTAAAGCCAGCTCTCCTACCACTAGAATTACTTCATCAATCACTTTAACATCAGTTTTAAGTTAATTTCACAAAGCTGAAGTGAATCACAAAACTCAGAAGCCTAACTCTTTAAAATGTCTTTCCACAATTCCCGAGGTCTCTATATTCTTAGGAAACAGGATTTGTAACAAAAAGACTGACAAGTGTTAGTAAAGTTTTATTCCTTTGATTTGTATATGTATTAACACATTATTCTCATTTTATAGATATAGATATGAAAGTAAAAAAAAAAAAAATCAAAGAAGTAATTGAGTCCCCCAAACAAAAAGCAACTTACTAAGAAGAGACAGCTCAGTGGTTAAGAGCACTTGCTGTTCTTAGAGAGGACCCAGGTTCACAACCCAGCACCCACATGGTGGCTCAGAACCATCCATCTCTCTAGTTGCAGGGACGTGATTCCCATTTCTGGCCTCAGAAGCATGCACCTGGTATAGAGATATATACCCAGGCAAAGCACTCGTAAATATAATCTTAAAAAATTAACCTATCTAGTTAAGCAAAAAATCATTTAATACAATCATTTAATCAATGAATGCAATCCATTATCTCTAATTTCCAAATTTATGTTCTCTCCCTCTTTTATTTTTTTTGCTTGTTTTATGAGATAAGGTTTCTCTGTGTAGCCCTAGCTGTCCTAGAATTCATTCTGTAATCCAGGCTGACCTCAAACATAAGAGATCTACCTGCCTTGCCTCCCATGTGTTGGGATTAAAGGTGTGCACCGCACCACTCAGCAGAGTTCTTTATTCTTAATAGTGTTCTTATTTCCGCATGACTTTGTCCCAAAAAGGTATTGATGTGGGAGTGATTTCTTACTAATAAAGAAACTGCCTAGGCCCCTTGATAGGCCAACCCTTAGGTGGGTGGAGTAAACAGAACAGAATTCTGGGAGAAAGAAGCTTAGTGAAGGAGTCGCCATGATTCTCCCACTCCAGACAGATGCAGGTTAAGATCCTCCTTGGTAAGCCACCTCGTGGGCTACACAGAATATTAGAAATTGGTTAGAACAATATGTAAGAGCTAGCCAATAAGAAGCTGGAACTAGCCGGGCCAGGCAGTGTTGAAAAAATACAGTTTCCGTGTAATTATTTTGGGGCATAACCTAGCCATGCGGGCGACCGGGTGCCGGGGAGGCAGCCCCACCACTCCTAATTCAACACCCCTCCAAGGCTCAGAACATGGGATATTCCCAAACTATCAGAGGCAGAACTGAGTATCTCTTTTGACTCCTTACTTTCTCCAACCAATTGTTTAAGCAGTTGAGAACGGTAAAAATATTCAGTA